CAAGTCGAGAATTTTTTGCAGACAAACTTGGACACTTGGACAAGTGAAACCTACGCAAGACTCGAATCAAGCACTGTGCATATATAATGTACCAGTTGGTATTGTACTTCAACCATCAAAGGGAATGCCCGTCAGAGCACACCACTCACCTCCTGCGACCAATCCAGAGAGTAGATGTGAGACGTCTGCATCAAACTTGACCAGCCCGTCCCACAGGGGGGCGCCTGTTTAGGGCAGGGAGCGTACAATCCCGCCATTCTGCTCAGTTCCTCGAAATCTCGCGCCACCAGCTGGCTGACTCTCACCGGTTGCTTCAACAATGTAACGAGGGGGTCATGGATGGCCAACCCGTCTGTCGGGCGCACGAGCTTTGAAGTTTCAACCTGGATGCCCTCTGCACCCATTAGCATGACAACCGCAACACGTGCGGGCTCAACGTGAAGGCACGCCGTCGAAGGGCAAACGCAACTGCCGCATACACGGATAACATCTGGCCCTTGCCCCCCGGCCGAGCATGCTGACGGCCCACCCTCTCCAAGGTCCACCACATCATCGCAAGTTGCTTTCAGCAGTGGCTGAGCGGCCCAGTAGGTTTTAGACCTTCGTTTAACCCCCCACTGTGCAGACCCTGTGACGAGGGCCCCATTCTCCATCTCGGCTCGCCGACGCTTTCCAGCTGCGCTGCTATTCGCAGGACTACAGCACCGGCCTTTGCAGGGCTGCCTGTCAAGACCCACCCCACCAAACAGCGAGAGATGCTGCTTGCAAAAGCATGCGTCACCCTTGCATACTAGCATCGTGCCGCTCCCCCGCGATAAGACCGAGGAGATAACGCTCCTCATCCGTGAGGGCCTCCAGCTCTTCCTGGTGACCAGCTTCGCCGACTGCACAACTCTCTTCACCAGCTTGCGGGGGAGTGGAAGCGGCGTGCTCCTTGCCATCCCGCACCTCGCCGTCCTTCTGGTGCAGCCATAATCTGGCCCGCTCCAGCTGCGAATCCGAGAAGAGACAGCCCTCCAATCTGCTGACCCCCTCTCTCCTCTGCAGCGCTCGTTTGACCTCCTGAAGGTGACTGCAATCGGTCGTCTTGCTACAGCCCCCGCGTCTTCCCTCGCAGTACCACTCAAACTCTTCCCCCGCGTTGAAGTGCACCATCGTCCTCTTAGGCGAGGTGGAACCCGCATTCCAGTACACCCCGAACACTCTCTGCCCCACGCCACTGCACGGCGCTTCCACCACCCGCTGCCCCTTCTGAAATGAGCGGTGGCTTGATTGCCGACGTTCCTGGAGCGCTTGTAATGCCAGCTTGTGAACGCATGCTGCGCCAAAGCTCAAGCGGCTACGATTGCACGTGCAGCTCGGGTTCCCCATCGTGTCCCAGTACACCGTCTCGAGCAAGGCGTTGCTCTTGATGGGTCGCCCCAGAGGCTTTGGCCTCGCAGCGTTGTGATTCCACGCGGTCATCAGAAACACATAGCTGCTAGAACCCTCCTCGGCAATGCTATAGATTGCGCAATCGCCACTCATAAGATTGGCCAGGAACCGACCAGCTTGAGCCACAAGCGTGAGCTGCCCGCCCGCATCTCGGGCTTCTTCTGAGTTGCATTGGGCCTGCAAGAGGCAAGAACGTAGATCAGACACTTACATTTTTTGAGGAGCTAAAGGAATGCGGCCCACAGGAGTTCAGACTTTGCTAAGCTGGTCAATCTGGAGATCCGGACGTCGCTGCTGATTGCTTGAAACGATGAGACTCTATCTGTCGCAAATCCTTGACCAGCAATAAAAGGTCTGCAAAAAGCACTCACCGGGTGTGGGGGTTTCCGTGGGATTTGTCCAG